ATATATCCTGGAGCTCTGCTTGTTTGAGCTGGAGATAACGGTCTTCGCGTCGTGCCTCCGGGCGTGCTACAATCCTCGGGTCCAGTCTCCGAATCGTGTCGCGATCCGAGCTGTAATCGGCCTTTGATCCTTTCGGGGGGCTCCAGTTAGCGATAGTGTTTTTCGTTTCCTGCCCTTGGGCGTTTGGCGATTTTTCGGGTCCAGTCTCCGAGTCGTGTTGCGACTTGGGCTGTAATTGACCCTTGAATCTCATTTGAGCTTTCGGCCAGTGGTGGTGGCCTTTCTACTGTTCGATCATTGAGACCTTTCAGTATGAGGCCCAGAGGTATGCTTATCCGGCGACAGTGGTACTTACGTTGTTTGGTCGTAGAGACCTTTCGATATGAGGCCCGAAGGCTCGCTTAGCTGGCGACAATGGCACTTACGCTGTTTGGTCGCAGGGACCCTTTTGATTATGAGGCCAGGAGGCTTTGCTTAGTTTAACTATGTTGGATCCGGTCTCCGAATCGGGTTACGATTCGAGCTCACTTTAATCCTCAAGTTGTCAATTTTCAAGCTGATGGTCGTAGAGACCTTTCGGTGTGAGGCCCGGAGGCTCTGCTTAGCCGGCGACAATGGAACTTACGCTGTTTGATGTGAGGCCCGGAGGCTTTTTGTTGGCTTTGTTTCCTCTCGTTAAGGTCTTATTGATTATTTTTCCTGACCCGTCGTCGGTTCTAAAAGAACCTCGATTTCAAGTCGTAGTCGGCGATGTTTTGAGCACCTCGGAAGGTTCATTGCCCATAGGTCGAGTAGATCGACGCTTTTGTGATTTTAGAGCCGACACGATCGAGACTCGTTTTTTGCCCGTTGAGGGAAACCTGTGTTTAACCGGTTCTTTCCGAAGTAGATTCGGAGGATTTTTTAGCAACAGTCGGGCGTCCTCGAGTCGCGTTATATGGGTTGTGTCAACCGTTTCGACCGTAGTCGTATGCGTTTGGCCGTAGCCATTTTTGATCCCTTAGTGATAGTTTAGGTGTCTACGTCGAGGGTATGCCCTTTAGGGATTCTTAAAAATGCGACTTATAGCCCAAATATCGGGATTTTCATGCCTGTTGAGGTCTTACAGTTTTATCATGCTTGTGGAGGTCTTACAGAGTGCCATGCCCATTGAGGTCTTACAGTTTGCCATGCCTGTTGAGGTCTTATAGTTTATGGAGAATAGATCTGGTTTTGCCGAGGCTGCCCATTTAGGGTCTTACAATTTCGGATTTTCCAGTGCGTGGCGATTGGCGGCAGCCTCCGAGTCATCGAGTTTGCTTGAAGATAGCTTCTCGTGAGCTCGGAGTTGTTTTACAGGGGCTTGGTGAGCCCGGAGTTCCGACCCTGGGGTCGTACGAGTTGTCAAATTGCTTATTTTGAGTCTCCGAGTGTATCAGACTCGTTTGATGGAGAAGTATTTTGCTATGAATATGTTGAGACAATCTTTCTTGAAACATGAAACGCCAAGAAACTACCTTATATTACCTTGGAGCAGATGTAGGCCGTGATGAGAATGCCGAAAAATATATTCTTTATTGCTCGGCGTAGATATAAGCCGCAAGTACATATAGTTTTGTTGCCATGAGATCGACCCTCATGGGCTCGGCTCCTTAAAATTGTTTGGCCTGGTATTTTGTCTTTGTCAGAAAAGCCCCTTTCAGCGGAAATTTGTTCCAGGGTGAGAGTCTATTTTCGTAGAAGAGAGGGCGATGTTCGATCGCGGGCTCCCGCAGGTATTTCACGATCGGGGGCCCTAACAGTAATATCGTTTGAGCATCGACACATTCCAGTTGCTCGGGAGCTGCTCGCCTTCTATGGTGCCAAGTTTATATGAGCCTTTGCCAATGATTCCGAGGATGCGATACGGCCCTTCCCAATTCTGGCCAAGTTTCCCTTCGTTGGGATTCCAAGTGTTGAGAGTAACCTTCCTCAGGACCAAGTCCCCAATGCTGAAATATCTGAGGCTCGTTCTCCGGTTGTAATATCTATCGATTTTCTGCTTCTGGGCAGCCATCCGAACCAGCGAGGCCTCCCGCCTTTCGTCGAGTAGTTCGAAGGGCTGTTGTCATGGCCTCGTGGTTTGTCTCCTCGCCGGCATGTCGGAATCTAGCTCTTGGCTCTCCGACCTCTATAGGTATTAATGCTTCAACGCCGTGCACTAGAGAGAAAGGCATTTCGCCCGTACTTGATTTTGAAGTCGTCCGATATGCCCATAATATCTCGGGTAGAGTCTCTCGCCACTTTCCCTTGGAGCTCTCTAATTTCTTCTTCAGGTTTAGGATGATAGTTTTATTTGTGGATTCGGCCTGGCCGTTTGCGCACGGATGATACGGCATTGAAAGGATCCTTTTGATTTTGTTGTCCTCCAGGAACTGAGTTACCTTGCAACCAATGAATTGTCTCCCGTTGTCGCACGTTATTTCGGACGGGATCCCGAACCGGCATATGACGTGTTCCCATATGAAGTTGATGACTTCCTTCTCTCTTATTTTTTTGAAGGCCTGCGCTTCAACCCACTTTGAAAAGTAATCAGTCATAAACAGAATGAACCTAGCTTTACCTGGTGCCGTTGGCAAAGGGCCAACGATATCCATTCCCCATTTCATGAATGGCCATGGTGAAAGGACGGAATGTAATTGTTCCCCGGGTTGGTGGATCATGGGGGCGAATCTTTGACACTTGTCGCATCTCCGGACGAACTCCTTGGCGTCCCTTTCCATGCTATCCCAATAGTAACCTGCTCGGATTACCTTTCTGACTAACGAGTCTGCCCCGGAGTGGTTTCCACAGGTGCCCTCGTGGATCTCTCGGAGCACGTAATCCGTGTCTCCTGGCCCAAGGCACACTGCTAGGGGGCCGTCAAACGTTCTTCTGTACAAGGCCCCGCTTTCGTCGAGTGAGAAGCGGGCCTCTCTGGTTCGTAGGGCTCTTGATTCTTTCGGGTCGGCGGGCAGCTTCCCGTCCTTCAGATAGGTGATCTATTTGTTCCTCCAATCCCATGTCAGGTTGGTGGAGTTGATTTCCGCATGACCTTCCTCGACTGCGGACTTGATTAGCTGGACCACAGCCTCGGGGAGCAGGTCTTCCTCCTCGGTGGATGATCCTAGGTTTGCTAGGGTGTCAGCCTCGCTGTTCTGTTCTCGGGGCACATGGACTAAGGTCCATTCCTTGAAGCGGTGCAAGGTGACTTGGATTTTATCCAGATACCTCTACATTCTTTTTCCCGAGCTTCATAGCTTCCATTCACTTGACTTACTACGAGGGGCGAATCGCATTTTGCCTCGATGGATTCGGCCCCCAGGCCCTTGGCCAACTCTAGACCTGCAATCATAGCCTCATTCTCGGCTTCGTTGTTAGTTAGCTTTGTAGTTTTTATGGATTGTCGGATTACGCCACCGATAGGCGGCTTCAGGACTATACCAAGTCCTGATCCTCTGACGTTTGTGGCACCGTCCGTGAATAGGGTCCACCCCGGAAGATGTGCCTGACTTTAATAAAAGTTCCTTCTCTACCTCGGGGACGAGGGATGGCAAAAAATCGGCCACGAAATCCGCTAGGATCTAGGATTTGACGGCCGTTCGAGGTAGATATTCGTATCATACCCTCCGAGCTCGATGGCCCATTTGGCCAGTCGGCCCGACAGCTCAGGTTTGTGCAGTATGCTCCGGAGGAGATAGGTTGATAGGACGCAGATGCGGTGGCACTGAAAGTAAGGCTTTAGCTTACGTGAAGCACTTATTAGTGCGAGTGCCAATTTTTCTAGATGGGGATACCGGGTTTCGGCGTCCCCCAAGGTTCGACGTACATAATATACAGGAAATTGCGTACCTTGATCTTCCTGGACTAATACACAGCTCATCGCTATTTCGATATAGCCAGGTACAGATACAACGTTTCATCTTCTTTGGGTGTGTGTAGCAAGGGTGGGCTTGATAGGTACCGTTTCAGCTCTTCCAGGGCGTCTTGGCATTCCAGAGTCCATTCGAAGTTGCTCTTTCTTTTGAGTTTTAAAAGAAGTGATGGCTTTTGTCCGATGACCTTGATATGAATCTACCCAAGGCTGCGAGCCGCCCAGTCAGTCGTTGGACGGCTTTTACGTTATATACCACTGTGATTTCTTCGATGGCCTTTATTTTGTCGGGGTTGATCTCGATCCCCCTGTTTGAGACCATGAAGCCTAGGAATTTGCCCGAGCCTACTCCGAAGGCGCACTTTTCGGGGTTGAGCTTCATGTTGTAGCTTCTGAGGATGTCAAAGGTTTCCTGCAAATGGGTCAGGTGATCCTCTGCGCGCAGGGATTTTACTAACATATCTTCAATGTATACTTCCATAGATTTTCCTATTTGGTGTTCGAACATCTTATTAACTAGGCGTTGGTATGTTGCTCCTGCGTTTTTTAGTCCGAAGGGCATCACATTATAGCAATATGTGCTATACTTCATGAAGAATGAAGTCTTTTCCCTATCCTCGGTGTTCATCTGAATCTGATTATACCCCGAGTAAGCATTGTGGAAGGTGAGGGTCTCGTGGCCGGCTGCGGCATCGATCAGACGATCACTGTTGGGCAGCGGGAAAGAATCTTTGGGGCATGCTTTGTTTAAATCCTTATAATCTACGCACATTCTTAGCTTATTCCCTTTCTTTGGCACTATTACTACATTAGCTAGCCATTCGGGATACTTTACCTCCCTGATGGACCCGATTTTTAAGAGTTTCGTTACCTCTTCTTTGACGAAGGCGTGTTTTACCTCGGACTGCGGTCTCCTTTTCTGCTTCACGGGTTTGAATTTGGGGTTGACGCTCAGCTGGTGGGAGGTTATTTCTGGCGAGATACCTGTCATATCTAGGTGGGACCAGGCAAAATAGTCGATATTGTTACTAAGGAATCGAATAAACCCTGTCCTGAGTTCGGGGGTCAACCCCGTGCCTAGGTATACCTTGCGGTCCGGGAGGTTATCGATCAGAATGGTCTGCTCCAATTATTCGATCGTTGATTTGGTCGCGTCCGACTCTTCGGGGGCGACGAAGGTTCGGGGGGCAAAGAAATCCTCCTCGTCATCCCCGACGGTTTGCATGCTTTTTTCTTCGTTTGAGGCCGAGTGTGCGGGAGTTGACGGCTCACGGTAAACCACGAACATTTCTCTTGCCGTCCGCTGTTCTCCATGTATTGTTGTGATGCCATTTTTCGTGGGGAATTTCACCACCTGGTGTAAGGTAGAGGGCACTGCCTTCATATCGTGTATCCAAGGCCTACCAAGCAAAGAGTTGTACCTCATGTCGCCGTCGATGACCTGAAATTTGGTGCTCTGGGTCGTGCCAGATGTGTTGATTGGGAGGGTGATTTCTCCTTTTGTTTCTTCCCCGATCATGTTGAAACCGTGGAGGATTCGAGGAACGGTGCTAATCTGATTGAGCAATCCCAGCTGTTCTATCACTCCGGACCTGATTACGTTGGCCGAGCTGTCCGGGTCTACGAGCACGCGCTTTATCTTTGTGTTGTTTAAGAGAAACGAGATCACCAGTGCGTCATTACATTGTGGTTCTCCCATGGCCTCGAGGTCCTCCTCGGCGAATATGAGGGTTTTTCGGGTAAGAGCCACCAGGTCGATCCATCAGTAGCGGATGTTTTTGTCCGCTTGGGTACGGGGCACTGGGGATCGTCAGCCCCCCCGATAATCATGTGGATATCATATGTGGGGGTTCCTTTTTGCGCTCGGACTGGGCCTGGGGGTGTGTTGGACTCCGGGTTGTTCGGTTCCGCTCCCCTGTTGCTCTTGAGATCTCTGCTTCTCATTTCATCGATCGAGCAGAATGTCCGGTCTTGAAAGTGGAGATCTTCGGCAAGAAAAAGTGTGAGAGATATCGTGCGTTTAAATGACGAAACTAGCAAGAAAATAATCACTATTATTTTTAGCCCCACGGTGGGCGCCAAACTGTTTAACGTGAAAATGGTAACAACAATTAAATTTATAAATAGGATGCTAAAAATACGTGATCTATTCCCGAGCTAGTTTGGAAGGGTGATTAGTGTTAAATATGGAGTAAGACAGTAAAGATCAAGCTAGCCAAAATAACAATCGAACCAGTAAGGGGGCGTTCCCGGGCTTAGAACAAGCCAGTAGATACCTCGGGGCCAGGCCTCGAGCCTACCTCGGGCCTATCGGAGGTAATCATATCGAGGGTAGTCGGGAAGGGGATAACAGATAAGTATGTGTATACAAGGCTTTATACCGTCAATCTTGAGCTAAATGACAAAGAACAAACGAAGAACAATAAAATGCTGGGGCGACCTCGGGGTCGAAGAACACAGTTAACTTACAAGAAAGAGATAGAGAGAGAGATATTATTGCTTATTGGAGAAGCGGAGCAACATCAGTATTTTACAAGGTGGGGTGAGTCCCCCTTATATAGGCGAGGGGACTCGGTAAAATATGCATATATTATTTACAAGAGTAGAAAGATGAAACGGCCTATCTCACGTCATCTCAGTAGGTTACAGATAGACCGGCCCTGTCAGGTGTAGCCATGTGCTTTGGAGACATCTCCTCTCACCCTGACTTTGGGCCCTGCTTCCTTTGATTCGGACCTCGACGAGCCCTGAGGCCGAGAACTCGATCGTGGCCTCCTATCCTCGGGGTGTCGAGGAAGGCTTCCAAGTTTGTCTTGATAGCGAAAATCAAGTCATCTGATTTTACTGCATACAATAATGATGTTCTAGATGCTGTCACACTCAAGCAGTATGGCTATACTGAGATCACGACTAGAGGCCCAACTGGTTTTGCTATTTTGCATGGGAGCAACATAGCTGCTGAACTTTCAAAAAGGTTAGAGTTAGCCTTGGAAGAAAATGCTAAGCTCTGGGAGGAAAATGATCAACTGCGCAAGGAAACTAGGCAGTTTAGGGAGGAGCCGAGAAAAGATAGATAGGCTCATGCATAACAGATTTTCACTCTTGTGAAGGCCTTAGCCCCCTACACCTCTCACCCTTGATTTTGGTCTTTTACCCTTGTCTTGTGTCTGTTTCTAGTTTGCTCAGTGGTCCTTTATTTTTTGTTCTAATTAGTATGTAGGAAGTTTTAATTTATTTTTTTAATGTTTTAAATCGAGGCCCTAGGCTTAATTTGGCATTATTTAATGAATTCTCTTATATTGTTTACCTGTTTCTCGCATAGTCTATATCATCAGCACAGTTCATTTGCCTTAATTTTTCTTGTGTTTGTGGTGTAGCCTCAATGGCCATGAATTTTGTATTCACTGGCTTCTAAGTCTATCTCACAGCTGTTTTTATTATTTTTGATGATGCCAAATGGGGGAAGATAACGTGGGGGGGGGGGGGGGATGTGCTTGTTCTGTCCAAAGTATGTTGTTGTTCTCAAATGTGATGCTAGGTGTATCATAAAAATGCTATTACCTGGTTCATGAGCACAAAGTTTGTCAGTGTCAAAAAGGAAAAATTTGTTGAGAATTGAGTTTTGATGATTAATAATTATTTCCGGTGAACGCATGCTAAGAACTAGGGTCCTCAAAGTAGTTATTGAAGGATCTTACAAGGTAGTAACTTTTACACAAAGTTATTGCAATCCGATATTATTGGAGAGGACTCTTGATGCGATAAGGACTGTTGCCCAAGAATATTTGCCTGCATATCTGATAGACATTAGACACCAGATTCGTGGAATCCTTAGAACTTCAAGATAGCAAGAAACAAGAGTTTGACTATGTGTAGACTCCCAAAGATCTCGGAGTACTGAGGAGTTAAATACTTTGCCTATGGACTGTGAAGACCATCCTTTTGCACATTAACTGAGGAACGTAATATAACATTTTCAGTTCAATACTCAAGTTGATCATCAGTGTGTTTTGAAAGTCAATTTTTGAGTCAGTTTAGTTGTGTATTAGGAGATTGAGTTGTAGTCAAGATGTTATTCAAAACATGTTAGTTGGAGCATTGTGTGAGTCTGCAAGGTAGAGTAACTTGTAATTCATACAAAAAGTAGAAGTAGGAGAAGTGTGGATATTGGTTTACAAAGTCTTGTAATCAGTACGATTGACTCATTTATTCTAGTGAAGTTGAAGTTAAAATTCTAAATGGCAGGTCGTAGTTTTTTCACCTTTGAGCCGGGTGATTTTTCACGTAAAAATTATCGCCCTTACTTTACACTTTATTTCATTTACTCATATGGAGTAAGAAAAAGAACCAAGCTCTTTAGTAATTTAGGAAGGCACTCAAATTAACATAAAACACTACATCCTTTATGTTTTACTTTACATGATTACAAAAAACAACAAAATACTGTCATCAAAGGAAAAATATTTTTTAATTTTACACTTATTCTATTAAATATAGAGAGAAAGTAAGAACAATACTAAATTATCAAAGAATAAATAAAAATAATGTGTTTTCTAAATGAGTTCAAAAGAGAAAGATGACAAGCGAAATACAACCAATAGTTTAATTATTTATCATCATGGCACTATTTTCCACGACAAATCTTTGATATTGGAGTAAGAAAGTTGGGGCTTCTGGGTGTGGCAACCCATTTCAAGTCCTTTTAAAAATTTGAGCCTCGAGTTTTAATTCTTAAATATTAAGATCCCTTTTATGATTAGTAATAATTAAGCTAATTCTCATTATAGAATATTCGAAATCAGCTCCAAAGTCATAAAAATTCAATTAGATCCAAAGTAACAAAAAACAAAAATAAACCAAACTAGAAATATAAAGATGTATTTTTATCTTGTAAAAAAGGAATATAAAAATATATTTCTCTCTTTTAACCCATTCCCGTATAATTTTTTTCCCCCACTAGGTCTTAAGACCATCTGAAATACTCCATTGACAGTCATTATTGAAGCTTGAGCTTCAAGCTTGAAAAGTAAGTTTTTCAAAATTGTGAACTATTCCGAATGTGCTACGACCCAAAAATCCAACCTAGTCGAAATGACACCTAACCCCAATATGCTAGGTAAGCTGTAATGACCCGGCCGTTCATTTTGCTTTTTAGAACCCCGATACCCTAAATAAGACTCCCAATATGTGCTTTTACAGATTTATAAATTGCGGGGATGGTTAGTTCGAGATTTGGAAGGGTTTGAGTTGAAATCGGAACACTTGGTTCCTTAAGTTGGACTTAAAAGGCTAAGTTTGCCTTCGGTAAAAGTTTTGAGTAAATGACCTCAATCGGGATTTGACGGTTCCAATAGGTTCGTATGATGATTTCAGACTCGAGCGTATGCTCGGATCGGGTTTTCGATGACCTGGGAGCGTTTCAGCGCCTAATATTGAAAGTTGGTTCTTTAATGGTTTTTGAAATTCTTTAAATTTGGTTTAGAGTAGGTTTTGGTGATATCGAGGTCCGAATGGAATTCCGAGATCGGGAATAATTTTGTAATGTCATTTTGACTTGCACGCAAAATTTGGTGTCAATCCGAGTAGTTTAAGTACGTTTCGACGCCTTGGGATTAAATTGAAGAACTTAAATTTCATATGTTTTTGATTCAATTGGTTTGGGGTGTGATTCTTAGTTTTAATGTTGTTTTGGGCTTTCCGAGAGTTCGAGCGAGTCCGTTTTATGATTTTAAACTTGTCGGTATGTTCGGGTGGGGCCTCGGTGGCCCATGTATCGATCGGACGAGGCTCGGACCAAGTTGAAACTTGGGAGCAACAGCTGAAGCTCCCAGCTGGTAGTGTAATCGCACCTACGCTTGGCAGCCGCAGGTGCGAGCTCGCAGGTGCGAGCCAGGAGCCGCAAAAATGAACCAGCCAAGGCTGCCCAGGATCCGTAGAAGCGAGGAGTGTAGCGCACCTGCAAACGCGCAGGTGCGATGACTGTGACCGCAGAAGCGGCAATGTCCTCAAGCGCGAAAGGAACGGCCGCAGCAGCGGTCCCGCAGAAGCGAAAGTCCCTCCGCAGGTGCGGAATCGCAGAAGGCAGAAGCCTTCATTTAATGCGAGACTTAGTCATTTTTGCTCATTTCTTACACTTCTTTAGGCGATTTTGGAGCTTCTTGAGAGGGGGTTTCACCTAGAACTTTGAGGTAAGTAGTTCCTACCAAATATGAGTCTAATACATAGCTTATGAGTACATTATAACATGTAAATTAGTAAAATCATGGGTTTAGTTGAAAACCTAGATTTTTGATAGAAATGAGATTTAGTCATGAAATTCATTATGGAATCTAGTAAAAACCATATATTTGGGTTCATGAGGTTATGGGTAATAATTGTCTTCAAAAATTTCCGAAATCCGAGCTCGTGGGGGTGAGTTTTAGGAATCTTACATTTAATTTTGGGTGACCTCTTTTGTAGTTGGAATACGAACTTTTGAGCATGTATTGATTAGTTTATAACTATTTGATTAGTTTTGGATTGATTCGGCACCAAATCGAGAGTTTGAGCATAATCTTGGACCGGAAAGTAGGTTTTGAGGCGAGGTAAGTCTCTTTTCTAACCTTGTAAGAGGGAATTAACCCCATAGGTGAACTTAACCCCTATTTGTGGGGGCTACGCACGCACGAAGTGACGAGAGTCCGTGCGTAGCTGCTAGTC